TCATCAAGTTGATTCTTTAAAATGTATGAAGACAAACAAAGACCCCTTACAGCAATCCTGAAAAGTTGTGAATTGGTAATTGATGCAGCTTCCTCTCATTTGCCCCATGTGGAGAGACCTTCAAAGGTTTGGGCCAGCTGGTCATGTGACTCACAACACCAGCCAATTGGAGTGCAGGGCTCAGATTTCATTTGGCGAGGAGTCACTAAGCTCCAGAGCTTTAGGAAAGGGAGGCTGACTCCTCTGCTTAGCCTCTTAAGTTTTCGGATACGTTTAGCCTATCCAAAGATGGACTAAACAACTCATTATGACCCGGCGACTTTCTTATGGGATGTTAAGGAGGCCACTGTAAGAAAGGAGAAGGAATTTGGGGAATTCATTACTCTACAGGCTCTTCCTGGAAGAAGAGGGAGATGGGGGCTGGAGCAATCTGTGTAAGTACAAAAAAAAATCACTCTGGTCAACTTCCTTATAAGGCAGGGGAACTCAGCTAGCCAGTTTCTGCATGCATCAGTGTGCAATGTGCTGGCTGTGATCCTGGACTTAAAACTGGGTAAAAGCCGCTAGACTGAGGTCATTTCTTCACATCTGTTTACAATGTCTCTTGTAGGCCACCTGGAACTGACGCTGTCCTGTCAACTTCACTTAATGATGCTTTGTAAATAAATTAACATTGCTTTGGTGCAGTACACTGAATGTGTATCTTTAGGGGTAAAACAGCTTTTATTAGAACAGTAACCTCAAATGAACAACTTTGTACCTTATTTACCCCTAAAGGTATCCTATTAGTATCTTAAGTGTACATATTACTCTAGGGTACTTATATGTATCTTTTAGGGGTAAATAAGGTACAAAGTTGTCCCTAATTAGAACTACCCCAATTACAAGCTGTTCTGCCCCTAAAGGTACAATTTTTCAGACAGTGTTAATGTTGTAAACTATGTGCTTGTTTCTATCTTATAATAGCAGAAAGGATCTGCAGCTGTTGCTAGAATGCACTGCTACAACCAGTTGCTGTCAGGAGTCACACACAGCATGTCTGCACGCATGCGTGAGATATGAATGAACATGCCGAGACTCGTTTCTCACCGAACAGAGACGGAGTTTGTGAAATTGAACCCTGCACTTTTAACAGAACATAGATCTACATTCAAAATCCCAACATTTGCAGCAAAATTAACAATTTTGGGGTTGTTACTTTTTTTTATGTTTCAAGGTATCTAATGCTCATCAAGGCTGCATTTATTTGATCAGAAATACAGTAAAAA